CTACGATGGTGAAGGATTGCATAGACTATGCACGGAGATGTCAAGCATGTCAATTTCATGCGAACTTTATCCATCAACATCCTGAACCGCTACATCCGACGGTAGCATCGTGGCCATTTGATGCATGGGGGCTCGATGTGGTTGGTCCTATTACACCCAAGTCATCAGCAGGGCATTCGTATATATTAGCAGCCACCGATTATTTCTCAAAGTGGGCTGAAGCAGTGGCTTTAAAGGAAGTGAAGAAGGAAAATGTTGCAGATTTCATCCGAGTTCACATTATCTATCGTTTTGGCATCCCTCGGTATATCCTAACCGACAACGGGAAACCATTCGATAATAAATTGATGGATAAAATCTGCAAACTTTTTGAGTTCGAGCAAAGAAATTCATCAGCTTATTATGCAGCTGCAAATGGACTTGCCGAGGCTTTTAACAAAACTCTATGCAATCTACTAAAAAAGGTGGTGTCGAAGTCAAAACGTGATTGGCAAGAAAGGATGGAAGAAGCACTGTGGGCATACAGAACTACATACCGTACACCAACACAAAGCACTCCATACTCACTGGTTTACGGGGTTGAAGCAGTCTTGCCTCTTGAACGCCAAATACCTTCTCTAAGGTTAGCTATCCAAGAAGGCCTTACAGACGAGGATAATGTAAAGTTGCGGTTGGCAGAGTTAGAAGCTCTCGATGAGAAGAGATTGCAGGCCCAACAAAGTTTAGAATGCTATCAAGCTCGAATTTCTAGAGCTTTCAACAAGAGGGTAAGGATTCGCTCATTTCAGGTTGGTGACAAGGTGTTGGCGGTTCGTAGACCTATCATTATTACAAGGAAAACTGGGCATAAGTTTACCCCAAAATGGGATGGACCTTACGTGGTACAAGAAGCATACTCAAGAGGTGCTTACAAGCTAATTGATGAAGATGGTGTGCGAGTTGGCCCTATTAACGGGAAATTCTTAAAGATCTATCATCCCTAAGCACACGGACTACATGATGAGTGATATCCACCAAAATGCAGCACGTGGTTAAACTGCTAATGCATCTCGCTTGTCTATGGGTGGGACCAAGTCATAGACGCTCCTGACCCGCACGAGCTTAAACTGTGTACGGTAAACTCCTGGCCCGCATGAGTTTAAACTTTGAACGGCCCTACCTATTCAAATGGTCCTTTGAACTACGTTTGACTTGATCTCCTTCGCAGGAGTACGTAGGCAGCTTAGAAACACCTCCTCTTCTAAGTTCAGTCATAACTAAAATAAACCCCTTTGTGTCCCTTTTATGTCACGTTTGTTCGAATAATGTAGATGTATTGGAGATGGGTCATCTCTGTTCACGTTGTAATTACGGGTGAATTCTTTTGTCAGATTTCTATTAGAGTGACTTGTTTGGGTTTAGACTTAGTTGCTTCTGTTCATGCTGAAGTTCAATTGTTCGCAAGTATTGTTGAAAAGATAAGAGAAATCAAGTCGTATTCAAGTCTTGTTTCCAAGTATAAAACTCATGCGTTATACAAAAAAAAAAAAAAAAAAAATCTCTAAGCAAAAAAAAAATATAAATAAATCTAAAGTATTCTAAAGCTCATGAGATCTTCCTTATACGCTTCCAGCTCTCTTTTGATTGAAGTAAGCTTTTCTTCATCTTCATCTGTCAACGTGGGGCAGTCTCGAATACGTTTAATTTCATCCTCAGCGGTGGTCACGGCCTATTGCGATGCGTTATGTTGTTCTTGAGCCTTCGTCACACGGTCTTGGAGTTCCGGGTTCTTGGCTTCAATCTCCTTCAACTCTTCCTGTGCATCCTTTATCGTTTTCTCCAGGAGGGCTTTTCGATCGGCGGCGTCTTCGAGGGTTTTCTGTTCGTCAAGAAGAAGCGCTTCGGTTTGAGAACACTTCCGTTGAGCTTCCACAAGGATACCTTGCGTTAGAACTAGCTTCGCGGCTTGGGTTTCAACGGGCAGTGCATTCGAGAGCTGTGACCGCGCCCGATCGAAATCTTTAGCTTTGTTAAAGAACTCGGCCACTCGTCGCTTCAATATTGATAAGTCCACCCCGTCCCGTCCCATTTCTTGGAGTTGTCTTTCAACGCTTCCTTGGAAGGAAGAAATTCTTTCAGCTGGGATCTCATTAAGCTTCCTGCAGATACTACTCCAAACTCCCGCAATGAAAGCCATGTATTGTGATATAAACGACTCCTCGCCGGGGAAGATAGAGGCTTGGGACGGCTCTGGCTGCATATCCTGAGGAGTTGTGTTTAAGGGCAACGTCGACTGGTGGGATTCTACCTCGAGGTCAAGGGTATTAGAGCGTCCGCCACTTTGTCCCATTGAAGACTGGTGATTTGATGACTGGACATCGTTGCTAACATGTGGCTCGGCAGGATCCTGTGAGAAGTAGTGCATGTACGTTAACAAAGGCCAAAGTCCAACGATATACGAAACGGGAGAATTTGGGGAAGTATCTTAACCTGGTTTAATGGTCTCCCTCTAGGCCTTTTCCAACAGCGATCTTGGTCGTCATCACTACCAGCGTCCTCGTCCGAGCTTCGTTGCCTCGCTTGCTCCTCCCTGCTCCTTCGAGCGACATGTCCTGAGGCCCTATCCCGAGATGACATGTCCTCTTGTGCAGGTGTTTTTTTGTTCCTTGAGGTGGTCAGTTGGTCTCTTTGTTCTTGAGTGCCTTCCTCGCCGACAGGTACGTTTGGGTTTCCGTTAACGGCTATGTCTGTGAAATGATTCTCGAGAAGGTTTGCACTCACATCGATCAACCAGGCCTTGTACTCGTTCGAAAAATGCTTCTTTGGAGCAACCGGGCTCATGGGAAATGTCGCCCTAGATTGGGAGTTGATATTATCATATTGGCGATGAAGTCGGAATCCTTCGGTGAGTGAAGCATAACGGACATCCTTCGCCAACAGGCCGGGGGCATATGCTTGATAGAATCCAAATTGACGACTGAAGCGATGCGGCATGTAAGGCTCAGCTTTGCATTGAGACCCTTGGCGCAAAACGAGGAAGCTGGGGCGCAAACATATGAAGTACTCAAAGTCTTCCCTACTCCCTCTACGGTCGTCGTAAAAGATAAAATCTCTACTATCCTTGCGGGAGTTGCAGAGCCAAGAAACGTCCCCTTTGAATATCTTCTTACGGGCATCCATCTCGGTGTAATACCTTGCACCACCTTCTCCAGAATTAGTGACCATCTTTGGGTTTGCTAACGTGAGGCTGGGGGTCTTAAAGTGGGTTTGGTAGTAAGTTGCTAGCCAGCTGTACACGTAATGGATTGGAAAAGGATCTCCTATTTGACCAGGAGAGTGGGATTCCGAGATTGAGTTTAAACCAGAATAAATACTAGCAAGTACTGGAGCCGCAAGACATATCTTATCTCCTTTAGCCATCATACATGCTATCCTGAAAGTCTCTGGGCGAATGGTTCTTGTTGGTGTACCTGGCAGGACAAACACGCAAAGCCAACAAGATAAAAATGCGGCCAAATAAGCTTCCTTTTCGAAACGCTGAGAGATGCCTAGTTCAAGAAAGGGCGTCCTGCTCACATCTAACCACCTGAGGGATTTGTTAAGTTCTCCGCTTGGGTTGTGGGTATTCTTTGGCCGAGATTTCCTGTCCTTTTGAGATGGAGGTGGAGGAGCTGGATGTGTTCGCGGTTTTCTGCACCAGAAGTCAATCCATCGCGATGCTTGAACAAAGGGGGTGCCATCCTCTTGCTGGTTTAAAAGGTAAAAGGCCTCGAATAAGCTTGCACAACACCTGTTTGGGCCCCTTTTTAGGTCCAGGGCACTCGGGATGTGTTCGTCGTAAATATCGCCGGACAGTGGTAGTCCTCCAAGAACGTGCAAATCCCGAGGCGATATGCTCACCTCACCCGACGAGGTGATCAGGGTGTTGGTTCTTGGGCACCATGCTTCGCAGAAGGCTTTGACAATGTTGATGTTACGGTCATATGTAAATAATGACGCAAACACAGCATCATATATCTTCCCCTCCTTTAAGGTGTCGTGGGAGAAGTGAAGCGTTTCTTCAACCCACTCCCAATATCCTTTTAGAAAAGTGAATTCGCCCTCGAAGTCTATGTCTTGGCCCCACGAGACCTCAGCATTAAGGATACGACGCCCCAGTGTAGGAAGGGCGTCTTTGGAAGGTTGGTGCTGCATTCCGGGTAGCAAGGTCCACACCTTGGATGGCGGGCATTCGTACTCGGGGGTCCAGTTACTCGCATGATACGACACCGTGAGCTTTGGCGGGTCGCGTAGTACTATGGGTGGGTTAACCTTCAGTATGACTTGATGATCACTATTTCTGCTCGATATAACCATGACATCTTGCCCGTTACGCCGTTGATCTTGAAAGTACACCATCTTGAAGGTGTCAAAGTCGAAAAGTCGCTGCAAAAAAAAATAATAATAATAACTATGATATATTATGCACAAGTGTATAGCATATACATAACACAAAATTAAATTGACGAATTATATATATATGGCAAATTTTTTTTTTGGACAATGGTCCACACAATTTTATGGACCATGGTCCACGCAATAATGGTTGTATACATATACTACATGTGGACTACATATGTTAATACATTGTATATGTATATACACAATATTATATAATTATTATTGTTATTATTATTATTACTATCATTATTATTAGTAATGTTATTATTATTATATTATTATTATATTACTTCTATTAAAATATTACAAAAAAAAGAGAAAATAAAAAAAGTAAGTAAAAAAAAAAAACAAATCAAGAAAAATCAAAAAAGGAAAAACAAAACAGAAAACAAAGCAAAAGAAACAAAAAAAAAACGAAAGAAAATATGAAAAACTACATGTATATATATGTGAGCATAATTTGTGTTAGTATAATGTTAATATAATATAATGATATATGTAATGTAATGTATTTGTATGAGGAGTAAGGGTTGGCACGTGGGGCCATGTTAGAGACTTTTGGAATTTAGCCTTTCTTCGGATAATATTAAAGTCTTTTTGTTGTCCATTTTGTCATTCCCCATAAGCATAGCACTGCAAAGTCACATGGTTAATAAAGGAAAAAGTTGGCTTTGGAATTTGCATATAGACAGAGCCGTAGACTGAAATGGTTGCCAAAACAGATCCAAGCCCTTCAAAGCTCATCCTTTAGTCATCGACGACAACTCTGGAGCAACAATATTTCGGCGGGTGTGAGCAACTTTCCAATGGGAACCGCAGCATCGACGTTCAGTAACTTCCTTCATCTCTGTCTTCTCCCACCCTATGCGGGATGATGGTGGTGCAAGAAGTAGTGTCCGGCGATCCAACGGTGACTTCGATGGAGATCAAATTCCTGCACCAACAACAATGGATAAACAGAGCTCTGCAACCGGCGGCCTTAGGACTTTAGTCAATCCCCTAGCAATGATAATAAGATGCAGAAGGAAGCTTCAACAACTGCAATTTGCGACCGGCGGCTTCTACAAAGAACTCCGGTGGCGGCAGCAACGCAACAGCTCGGGTGACCTCCAGCAGCGGCGATCTCCGGCGAACCTGCAAAAGACAGAAACAGGGCTCTGCAACCGGCGTCCGGCGACTTCTGTGAAGAACCTCCGGCAGCTGCGTTGGCAACGGGCTTCAACGATTTACGACCAGCGGCCTTGACGGTGGAAAGTTCCAGCGGCGGCTTTGCAAAAAAAAAAAAAAAAAAACAAAAAAAAAAAAAAAAAAAAAACAAAAAGCGACCGGCGGCATTTGCGAAGAACTCCGGCCGGAGAAGCAACGAACCTCCGAGTGGCAATCAACAAGAGCTCTCAGTTTGCTTCCTAAGTTCATGATCGCCCAAATTCTTCCTCATATGTATTGTCATTCCTGAAGAAACATATATGGGAAGAGAGGGTGCAAAGATGAGAGGTTTACCTATTGAGGAGCAAGCTGTTCTTTCTTGGCCTTGGTTCCGCTGATTGCTGTGGGTTTGGGGTTGATGGAGGAAGTATTTATAGTGTACTGGGAGGGGGTGTCATGGTTGGATTACACTTTTAATGTTATCATGATTGGGATTGAATTTAACGGTACAACTGGGATCACGGACGAGATAAGTCTAAGTTTTTTTTTTTTTTTTTTTTTTTTTTTTTTTTTGCATGGTCACCAATGTTAGAGACGAGTCTGATGGTTAGTACGCTCAGAATTTGAGATGGTCTAGTCCTACTGGGTTTAACCATAGTGCAGAGCTGAGCTTGACCTTACATTATTTGATTTTGGGCTTTGGAATATCTAACGTGGGCCAATAAATGTTGTATGAGCCCAATATCCCTTCACCAGCTTCATCATAAATTAATTTTGGGCTCAATGAATAATTTTGGGCTCATGATGTTATAAGACACTCCCATGGATTTGAATGGCCATGTGTTAAAATTTCGAGACTTTCTCACTCCAAGCACATTAAGCGGCATGTCCCGGCAAGTCTCGAGGGGGCAATTTGTAGACACCGAAAATTTGAACCCAATAAATGGACCGATTAAAGTATTATTGAGCTAATGTTGAGATTGATGATTGGGCCGATTTGATTAATTGGATCATGGAAATTAATTTAATTTAATTAGCCCAATTAGATTTGATTTGGGCCATTGAATTAATTAATTAGTTGGCCCAAGCCCATTTCATATTTGAATTTAAATTATAATTATAATTTAAATATAATATTAATTTTATTATATTTGAATTAGATATTTATAATTTAATTTGAATTTGAATTAGATTATACGATAATGAACCTGGACTTGATTCTGGGCAAGGTTCATTTTCTAGAATAATTAATTAATTAATTAATTAATTAAAGGGGGAGTTTGTTGAGGAATGTTGGTTAGGCTTCTAGTATAAATAGGGCCTTCATTTTCGTTCCAAAATACACTTGAAAGTTTGAAGAACTTGAATGCTTAGAGCTTGAAGGCATTGAACAACTTGAAGACTTAAGGAGTTGAGAGCATTTGAAGAACGCTTAAAGGCTTGGATGCATCTTTTGAATATTTTGCAGGCAATTTGAATCCATTGCAGGTACTTTGGAGCTTTGCAGAATTGATTGTCTCGAAGATCTTGAAGTCTTTTGAAGGCATTTGAGGACCTTAAGGCGGCTTGAATCCATTGCATGTGTTTTTTGAAATTTTGCAGGATTGATTACTTCTAAATCCTTGACGCTCGTTGTTGGGAGTCACGCCAATTAAATCCCGGAAGCTACGCCAATTGAATCCCGGAGGCACGCGCCACTTAAATCCCGGAGGCTACGCTACTTGAATCCCGGAGGCACTTCTATAGATAACGTTAGTGAAGAATCAGAGGACTAGACAGAGATTTTGTACCTGCATTGAATTATACACACGCTGTACACGGAATTTTGTGAATATATACAAAGTTTACATTTTTGTGTTTACACTTATAACTATGTGTGCAACTACTTAGAACTATAGGTGCAACTGCTTAGAACTATAGGTGCAACTAAGTATTGATGCTCAGTGTAAATTTTTACTTGCACCTATAATACATTTTACATGCACTTGTAATAAATTTTACTTGCACTTCGATGTTCAATTATTTACGAAAATGCCACCGCGTTTTTTTAAAAAATCAGTGTTTCTCATCCATTAGATCTGGACACGTGGACGAACAGAATTCATTCCTATTTCGCGCCTGGGCGAAGCATTCGCACCTGAGTGCGATTCTATATAAATATATATAGTAGATTATAGATATAGATATTATTAATTTGATATATGTGCATTCGGTTTTAGTTATTAGATTGGGAGGATCGGACCAGGCTCTTCAAAGACAAAAAACAGTCATAACAGTTGAATTTTTTTTTTTGAAAGCCAAAAGCACCTTCATTCATAAATATTCAAAGACGGAAAATCATAAATTAAAGGAAAGGAGGAGTGACAATTTATATCATGCACCACGGCGCATATAGCAATGTGCGCCCAAGCACACAGCGCGTGCGTTTTTTGTTGACGTCACTCCGTCCGTCCAAACAAACCAAACCCCATTATGTGTATTTAGTTAAAATTTCATGTGTATTGTGTTATGAGTTTATGTGTATTATGTTAAGAGTTTATGTGTATTATGTTAACCAAACCCCATTATGTGTATTCAGTTAAAAGTTTATGTGTGCTGTGTTATGAGTTTATGTGTATTCAGTTAAGAGTTTATGTGTATTATGTTAACTAAACCCCATTATGTGTATTTAGTTAAAAGTTTATGTCTATTATGTATTATGTTAGATTATGTGTATTCTTTTATGAGTTTATGTGTATTCTGTTATGAGTTTATGTGCATTCGAAACAGAGAATTTTTTTTAACAACTTAATAAAACAACGTCGTTTTGGGAAGTGCGGGGCGCACAATGCTATGTGCGCCGTGCCGTGGTGCACGGTATAACGATTGAAGGAGGAGTAGAGCCAAACCACTCCGTTACTCCATACAAGAACTGAACCACTCTAATACATAAGCAAAACAGAATTTAATACATAAGCAAGCTAGATAGAAGCAAATGACAGGCGGCACAACGAAAAATTGCCAAATTCCAATAGAATACTACTATTGTCTACAAGTCTTCAAATTAGTTTCCAACTAGCTACTAAACATACAATATTACAAGTGAACTAAGTATGAATATATATATATATATATATATATATATATATATATATATATATATATATATTACAAAGGAAGGGGGATACCCATACAATCTATGCCTACACTGAGGCTTGAAACCTAGACCTCCCACATAGGGGAGCAATTCGATACCAGTGGACCACAAGCCACCGGTATATATATATATATATATAGTGATAGAAAATAGAACTCAGAATTGCATTGCACATACATAATGCATGATTCAAAAACTAACAGAAGGTACATTACATCTATTAAAAAAGTAAATTAAAGCTGAAATACCAAAACCAACCACTGGGATGCTTTCTTTAAGCAAAGCAATCTTCTTAATTAGCTTGAATTGTTGACACTCATCATCATCAACTCCAACAATATGTCTGCATATATATATATATATATATATATATATATATATATATATATATATATATATATATATAGGCTTCGAATCCGGTACACCCCCTTTGATAAATGAGGTCATGAGACCTCATGCTATCCATTGATTAATTTTCCATCAATGGTTCAGATAATTAGAGATTATTAAAAGAAGAAAGGATATATATTAACCAAAAGGATTAAACTGTAATTGTAGTTATTGAACTATTTATGGCATTAATAGTAATGGAATCTTAAGTATTAAATTAGGGATATAATTTATGGTAATTGAGGAGATGGATCGTTAAATCTTCAGGGAACCAAGAAACGCACTTCAGTAATGGTTGGACCAAGCACAGGTAGGTGCATTACTTCATATTGGCGTGTGCGTAATACCTGTATTTGCGTTTTTTACTGTTTTTGTTGACGTGACGAAGGACCTACGAAATAGAGGTATTTGTGAACCTTTGGAAAAAGCAGTTATGTGGAAGCGTGGCTGCATACCAGCGTCTGCAACCCTTCCGGCTATATTACGTCGTGTATATATAATGGGAGCTTAGGGGCCGGGTGCGTGTAGTAACAATAGTCAGTGCATTATAGATGATTAGGCACTATGTCGGTGCATAGTCGTGCGTTCGCATGTGCGTAATACCAACATTTCCGTTGCTTATTTTTTCATTTATGCGGTTGCGTGATTGCATATAAGCTTGTGCAACCCTGCCGGGTTTATTAGGGCGTGTATGTATAGGGGGAGCTTAGGGGCCAGGTGCGTGGAGTAACAAAAGTCCGTTCATTACGGCTGAGTATGCACTTGACGGTTCGTAGTCGTGTATTGGTATGTGCATATTACCAATAGGACCGTTACTAATTTGTTAGTTGATGGGAAGAGCGGACTATCAATTAGGGCTATCTATGAACCTCAGGAAACAGCTGGTATGTGGTAGCGTGGATGCATATAAGCATATGCATACCCGTCCGGGTTTATGCAATCATGTATATATGATGGGAGCTTAGGGGCCGGGTGTGTGTAGTAGTAATCGTCTGTGCATTATACTGATGTTATGCGGTGGGATAGTGGTGTGTTTATTTTTTGGTTCTGTTAGTTTACGGGGGTGACACACGTGGATTTAAAACACCCCATGCGAGGGCGTTAGTTGAGGAGGATGGTTAGTAGCCAACAGTTGGTATGTGGTAGCGTATCACTGGTTCCCTGGTTCGACATTGGTTCCCTGTATAGTTGGTTGTGAATGTTTGGTTTTTAATTATTAAATAAATGGATATTACCACTCGTATTGGTCAACTGCCTGTATTTTGTGATCAAATGTAAATGTGATGAAATTGTTGTTATATTGAAGATGGTGACGGGATATACTGTGCAATGGATGTATCACCACTTGGCCAGCTTCTGCAACCCTTCCGGCTATATTACGTCGTGTATATATAATGGGAGCTTAGGGGCCGGGTGCGTGTAGTAACAATAGTCAGTGCGTTATAGATGATTAGGCACTATGTCAGTGCATAGTCGTGTGTTCGCATGTGCGTAATACCAACATTTTCGTTGCTTATTTTTTTGTTTATGCGGTAGCGTGATTGCATATAAGCTTGTGCAACCCTGTCGGGTTTATTAGGGCGTGTATGTATAGGGGGAGCTTAGGGGCCGGGTGCGTGGAGTAACAAAAGTCCGTTCATTATGCCTAAGTATGCACTTGACGGTGCGTAGTCATGTATTGGTATGTGCATATTACCAATAGGACCGTTACTAATATAGGCTTACCCCCCTCACACTTAAGCTTTTGCTTGTCCTCAAGCAAAACTAAGGAATAAAATCACAAGTCAAAACGTACAAATTACTCATGCTCTCTCTTGCACAACCTTTCAAACCACCAACCCACTTGCTACAAAACAACAAGCTTCAAGAATCAAATTAGTTTGGCACATAAGAGACCCATTTCCAAGCCAATAACCAAGCACCAAGAATTTAAAGCATGTGAGGATCAAATGTGCACAAATACTCAGTTGAGATTATGCAAGATGCGGTTCA